GTTCCAAGCTTGAAAACACGAAGTGCAAAGTGGCAATTTACAATTGAGTACGGAAATTGACAAAGCATGAATGGATGATGACTACAAAACTAAAATAAGCGAAAACAAAAGCAGCGATTTACACCAAAGTGAAGAATCGAACAAAAGATGGAGAGAGAGTGAGTGAAACACACTCCCGCTTAAAAACATGAAGTATGAAGTGGCGGTTTACAATGGAGTGAGGAAATGGACAAAGTATGAGTATATGATGACTATAACACTAGAATAAGCAAAGACTAAAGTAGGGATTTACACCCAAGTGAATAATTTAAAAAAAGATGAAGAGAGAGTGAGTGAAAGTCACTCCCAAGCTTGAAAACATAAAGTACAAAATGACGATTTATAATGGAGTGAGGAAATGGCCAATATGGAGACAACCTCTGGTAAAGAAGTTACTTCCTACTTTTCCCATGGTTAGTATGTAAGTCATGGAGAGAAAGAGAAAAAAAGGGAGAAGCGGAAATGAAGATGGGGGTAAGTGAGAGTGAAAAAAATGAAGGAAAGTTAAAAGAAGGAAAAATAATAGAGGATAGTAAAGACAAAGAGGAGGAAGAAGAAGAAAGTAGGGAAAAAAGGTGAAGAAGAAGAAAAGAAAAAAAAATCACATGAAATGAAATGAAACAGCAAGGCCAATCGTTTTGCGTTCATGTCTCAACGAATAACATTGAAGCTCCTACACGAACCGTCTGCTTCACACGCACATTCCCCGACACGTTTCGTCTGGCTGCGCACCAAAACTTATCAAGGGGTAACCACACTCCCGCATCCACCATAGCAAACGACCCAGAGCAAAGAGAAGAAGAAGAGGAAGGTGATGAAGAGAGAAAGCATCTTTTCTTTTTTCCGCTCACCTCCTCTGATGTCCTGGAGTTGAGATGTCAATCTGTATGTCGTTTTCCTTCTCTTTGCACCCTTGTTGCCCAACTATGGCTTCCTTCTACTTCAAACCCTCATCCTTCTGCCTTTCTCAGCCTCTCCCTAACTATGACAAACTGCTATCACTAAGGATATGGAGTCCACTCTAGGAGGGTTATGGGGACCCCTACTAATCTTTCTCTCTTCCACACAGCCTAAGGGTTGTGGTGGATCACTCCCCTAAGCTGTCAGTGCCTCTATTAGCCTCAATAACCCTCCTCCCTAGCCTAGTGTCTCCTCCAGGGTTGTCGACCACCGGCCCCGGGACCCCGGGCCCAATAAAGGGGGAGCGGGGGGGAATTCAAAAAAAATTAATATATATATATATATATATATATATATATATATATATATTGGGGGGTGCGCACCACCGCCGTGCAGCCCCTGGCATTTTCTGTCTCGTGCAGAAAATGCCCCGACATGGGGTCCCCCCCGAGGGCGCGGACCCCCCTTGGCGGGTGCGGGGTTGCCCAAGCGCGGGGGTGGGGACGGGTCGGCGGGCCGTGGTGTCGGGGTTCAGGAGGCGGTGGTCCGGTGGCGGGGGTGCGCTGCGGGGCAGCGGGGCAGCGGGGTTGCGGGGAGCGGGGGTCTTTGGGAGGTGCGGGTTGTGGTGCCGAGGGTGACCGGCGGGGTTTTGG